CCTTTCCTGACTTTTCTTTGCTCCCTTTTCACACCTTTTTCTCTCCCCATTTTCCTGCCCTTTTCCCCTCACGTTTCCCACCCCTCGTTGTCTTCCTTTTCCAACCCTTATTCTGCAACGCCAAGTTTCCCCTCTGTCCCGCAAACCCCCTTTATCCCTTTTCCCCTCCTGACCTTCTGAGTGACGACGAGGAAGCGCAGGGCGCTGAACGGGGGGTGCCCGTGGGGGGGTCCCTTGGCGGGCAGCGCGTGGGGCGACTCCAGCACCGTGCTGGGGTTCACCATCTTCTCCACCAGCATCAGCCACGCGTCCAGGAACTCGCCGGTGCCGTCGGGCAGGTCGGGGTGCTCCAGGCCCTCGCCCACCGGCACCTTCCCCCCCATCGACAGCGCCCAGTTGAACGTCCTGGGGGGACACGGGGTGAGAGGGGGACCCCCAGATCACGGGACCCCCCACGGGAGGGTTGGGGGACAGGGGGTTGGGAGGGGGAGTGCCTGGATGGAAATGGGGGCATGAAGTGGGGGTCAGGGGTTGGAAATGGGGGCGGAAAGGTACAAAATGGGGGTCAGGGGAGAATAGGGTGAGAAATGCATGAATGGGGTTCAAGGAGAGGGGAAACGGGGTCAGGAAGGCACAAAAGGGGGTTCAGGGGCAGGAAATGGGTTCAGGAAAGCACAAAATTGAGTCCAAGGGATCAAAAAAAGAGCTGGAGGAAATGAAATGGGGTCAGAAAGGCCTGAAATGGGGTTCAAGTGGAGGCAAATAAGGATGTAAAGCATAAATGGGGTTCAAGGGTGAGAAAAAGGGCTAGAGGACATGAAATGTGGTAAGAAAAGCATGAAATGGGGATCAGGGGGTGGGAAATGAGATCTGGGAGGCACAAAATGGGTTCAGGGGTAGGAAGTGGGAACACAGGGTAAGAAATGGGGTTGAGGGCACAAAATGGGGTGAAGGGGCAACAAATGGGGTGTGGGGTCTAGGGTGGAGTTTGGGGTTGAAGGAGTGGCGTCTAGGGTTTATGAAACAGGGTCTGGGGTTCAGGGCTGGGCTCTGGGGTTGAGGGAGCAGGGTCAGGGGCCCAGGGCAGGGTCAGGGGCCCAGGGCAGGGCCGGGGCTCACTCGAAGAGCGCGTTGTGGCCGCCGGAGCAGAGGAACTTCTGGAGCATGAGGTGATAGGGGAACTTGCGCTCGTCGAAGAGCATCGGGGACGTGAACCCCACCGAGCAGATGAAGAACGTCAGCCTGGGGGGGGGAGAAGGGAGGGAGGGTCAGGCCGTGCCCATGGCACCAACCACGCCCACCCCAGACCCAAAACTCCACCCTCAGGAGGCCACATGGGACACAAGCCCTGCCCAGGTAACGTGGACACGCCCTGTGCAAAAATCCCACCCCTTTTCCTTGGCTCCACCCTCATCCTCAGCCCCACCCCACCAAGACCTGCCCCTTCTTCTTGGCTCCACCCCAATTAAACCCTTGTCATTTGACTCCACTCCAATTAGACCCAATT